GGGGAACATAGGACCCGGGGAACAGAGCAGGGTTTTGTTGTTGTTCTGGTTTTCCCATTGGCTGTGACTTGTTAAGCTGCTCGTCACTGCCAGTTCTTCCCCTAAGTAAATACCACATTTTGCTCTGACTCTCTCTCTCTTAGGTCCATGTCGTCCCTGTACAGCGACCCACAGTGGAGCGCCAACATGGACAGAGCGGTGTCCAATCTGTCAGGTCCCGAGGTCCCTCTGGAGCAGGCTCTGGCCTGGCTGGGCGAGAGGGCAAAGGAGGAGCACTTCTCTCTCACTGATATCTGGGGGGTCTTGACCTCAGTCGGGATCATGAAACAGGTGCATTGCACACATACAGGGCAGAGCTGAGAGAAAGCAGCAGGGCTGAGCCAGTGCTTAGTTCGAATGCCCTCACATTTACATAAACATAACAACTTGCGTCATTCTCATAAACTGATTAGTTTCACAACAAAACCGACAGAGGACAGACATCAATAACTTAACAATCAATTAACAAGCAATATGATTGTGAAAGACATAAATACAGCTATAAAAGGATGAAGAGGGTCCTAATTTAATATTCCAATTGCATTTGGCCTGAATGTCTTTCTATAGAGGTGTGGTGGCTCTCACTTGTCTCTGCCGCCTCCCTGAGGATAAAAGCTGACAGTGCAGATATAAAGGGTGGAGAGGATTTAATCTGGAAAACTTTGTTCTTTGTATTTCATTATTATTTCTCACTTCTGTGACTTTGCTTTAATTTTACCAGCCTTATTTGCTATATGTTCTGGTACCACATAGCAATGAAGATAAAATAGTACTTTCCACCATGTTGCTTTTCATACGCCAGTTCCAAGGTATGCTTGCCAACTCGAAAATCATTTAACTTCCTGAGTAGATACAATCTCTGTGTGGCTTTCTTAAAAGCCTTAGTTACTCATCAATACATGTTGGCTGACATATGACAAGCTGAAATTAGAGTTTGAGTATGATATGGTCCATTATTGAACAACAGTAGCCAGGAATTAATCATTCTTAATGCATTTATTGTTGATTAAAGCACCATTAATTGATTATTTAAAGCTGCGTTGATTTTTTTTTGGCCACTTGGGAGCAGAAGAACATTTATAACCACCAAATTGACATATTATCACCTTCTGAAGTTGTTATAGCAAATGTGTTAGCCAACAATTGCCTATTTACACATCTAGCCATCAGAGAACAACATCTGTTTGGCTCTGGCCAATCGCTGTTCAGCAAAAACTACTAGCAAAGAAACATAAAATCTCCAGCACAGAGTGGACTGTCAGAGAGGGAAAGTTAGCCTTGGCATAGTAAATGTTTTGACAGTGAACATTTTAGAGTTTTTCATGTAAATCAGACCCTGGAACTTGCTTCCATTATCTACATAATAATATATTGCTAGCAGACATTATATGTTTCACAACCGCTAATGCTACATCAGCCACTTCCAGTTACATGCTAACAAGCTAACAAACATGAACAAATCATCTGCTAGTCGATGAATTCTGGTGCACCACAGCCCCTCTATCTGGGTCTGACTGAGCCATCTTGATGCGCGCTGCTCTTGCACCTAACTAGCAGCGGTCGTATTCATAGGTCCAGAAAGATGTGCTTCTAGCCTCTTTTCTTTTTATTTTACTTTTAATGTGGAAAACCATGTTGAAACTAAATATTCATCACAGCAAAGTATTTTTATATACTTTGAAACGTGTCTGGAAGGGAAACACAACAGAGAGAGCATTATAATTTCTAGCTTCACAGTTCACTGACCTGGTGCTCTTTTGGCAGCTGGATCCTCGACATCTTTCTGAGGATAGCATGACCGCCTTCAATCCCTATCCCGTATACAACGCAGTAGCCAAAAGCTGCCTTCAAAATGGTCCTGAAAAAGGTACTGAACACACACACACACACACCTACGCAGACAACAGACTGAAGCTGTACTCAAGCACTGAGCATTGTTTACCAATGCAGACTCTACATTCTTTCTTTTAAATCAATCAGGTTCATAACCGTGTTTTCTAAGATTTGTTGTCACAGTCAATGATTTGCATCCGTCTGTCTTTATTTGGCTCAGGTAAATGGTTTGAGATGACTCCTCAAGAGGTTGGCTTCACAGATCTGGGCCTCTTTATTAACACCTCTCGTCTAGGCAGCAGAAACTACGAAGCAGGTCCTGAAGGGCCAGAGATGGACATGGTCAAGCTGCAAGGTACGTCTGCCTCTTTTGTCTGCTAGAAACACAATCTCCTAAAAGTAACGACATCAGTCCATAGCCAATTGTGTGGAAGCTCAAAAAGCCCATGATAATGCTTTGTTACCATGGCAATAAATTACGGAAGTCAAAAGTGCTCGTGATTGCAAAAATACTTTATATCCTGTTCTCTTGCCATGAAAAGTATTTTGTTCTTGTGCTAGAAAAATTGTTGTTGTTTTCTCAGGATAATGACACAATTATTCTGTAATAAGAACACAGTTCATTAGCACAACATAAGAAACAGAACTCCAGATCTTGAAAACAGGATTAGAAAAATAATTTCTATTACATTCTCAACTTCTGTGCTATTTCTTGGTAATGAATTATTAACTGTATGATTTATTAACTTTATGTGAAATGTTCAAATAGTTTCCTGGAATAGTTTCTTAGCATAAATGCACAGTGTAATTTCAGGGTCACTTCAATGACATTAAACCTTAAGATTAGTGCTCAGTACCACTCAGCCGTTGCATAATGTTGTCTGTGGCTCTGTGGCTTTAAGGAGCTTAAAAATAAAGGTTAAAAAAAACCTGATGACATCATCAGAGTTATGTTGGCTTGGGCTTGAGACTATAAATGTATAACTGAAAGCCTGTGGTACAAACCGGCTAAAAGGTGTTCTCATCAGCAGGGTTTTTACAGTGTGTATCGTGTGTGTGTGTCTGCTTTGTTATCCAGGTATAATGGGCAGCGCAGTAGCAAATGAACAGAGTTTGTTCAACTTTATGCCTGCCTGGCTGAAAGGTAAAAAACTTCACTTGTCTATAATTAATGGATGAAGTAGCAGAACATTTTTAAATGTAAAAAAAACTCTGTGTGTTTGTGTGTGTGTGTGTGTGTGTGTGTGTGTGTGTCTAAGGTCTGCTGGGAGCAGCTACTGATGAAAACAACTTACTGGATGTGGCGTTTCTCTGGACTGAAGGTACCAGGTTTATAGAATAGTAGCTAGTGAATAACCTATATGGGCATGTATATTTATATTTCTATGTATCAGTACCACACCAGGTCAAGAGTTTCTGGGACGTCATGGACCGTTACATGTGCGGGTACCACAGCCTTTTGAAGGTAACGGAGCTGATCAGAAAAAACACAGAGGATCCCACTGTTTTATCTGGGCTGGACGACCTGCAGAAAACACTGAAAGGTACTAATGCTAGCAATGACGGTAAAGATGAGGATAATTAATCTGAAACTTTACATATGCAGGAAAGGCTCTCAGTTCACTCAACACTGTGAATTATTTTTTTCCAGAGAGTTTGAACCTAAACTCTACGGCTTCATTGGGAAAGAAGAGCCCAAAACAACAACAAAAGCTGATCCTTGAGCTGTGGCGTCAGAAGATGGCACCCATACATACTTGGATCCAAAGTCTGGAGGAAGGACCAGTCAAAAGGGGTGGTCAGTTTGAGAGTCATAATGTTCTTGTCATTGCTGCTACCCTCTGCAGCCAACGCTTTTTCTACCATCTGTCCGAGCATTTACTGAGCCATTGTACGCTCAGTAAATGCTTTAAATAAAAACTAAAACTTTAAATACCAGGAGCTGCACGGGTTGCCTTCATAGCTCTTCCGGCCGACCTGTGGCCCTTTGCTGCA